CATGAGGTGAAATCGGCAAACCTCGATACATATAATACACTGAATAATATATTCAATTTATATATGTAATAATAATTTAATGCATATAATAAGTTATTGCAATAATGTATATAATAATTCTAATACACTTTATTTATTTTGCTCTTTTAGTCTGAATATTATGATTTATCTTTTCTGTCCTGAAATCCGCAAAATCCTAAAATTATCACAACCTCTGGTCCCTCTTTGCGGATTTCTGGACTTCTACTGTATTATGTTTGTAGAATATGAAGGAATTATGTTTTGACACGCAAGCTTTTGATGTTATGTGAGCTAGGAAAAGGTAACCAAGTTTTCTGATAAAAACATATGTAAATCAACTGTATAATTTAATTTGGCAATAGCCTGTTAATTCCTCATTTTTAATTTGGGCATTTCCTCTCTATTCAAAATTGTAATAACTTTTCTGTACTGCATCATTTCTAACTCGTGTGTCTTGCATAATCATATATATTGTGTGTCTTGCATAACATTGATTAAGTAGCTAATTGGAACCTGTACTCAAATTTCGAGAACTGAAACCTTTCTCTTAAAAAGCAACCTAAACCGAAATCTTTTCTTAGTGAGCCTCTATATTTTATAATTGCACAATTTAGCTTCTACTTCTATTGCTGCTTGGATGCTATTTTGCTCTGCTCTCTTCCTATTGCAACAGTATGAAAGATGTAAATGTTCTTGAATAAGCATGATTAGAGCATCAAGTAAATTGTGGCTGCGAGTGTCAAATAAAATAAACCTGAATATTTAATTTTACTTGGCTGCCTAGTTTCCTCTTCAGTAGGGATCTACATTCTACATCTTCAATATTGCTACATCTTTTTCACTTTGTTCTCTTTCTATCGCAACATATAAAAAAATGTAAATATTTTTAAATAGGCATGAATGGAGTCCCAGGAAAATTGTGGCTGCAGATATCAATTGAAATAAAATTCATTATTTAATCTTACTCAGCTGCCAAATCTCCTCTTCAGTATGGATCTATGTTCTATGCTGTCAGCATTGCTACATCATTTTCATCGCAAATGTATATATATATATGTATGTATATACAGTCAAAAGTCTTTAATCCGGACGTTTATAATCTGGACCTCAAAGCTACAAACTTTCTGCGCATGCACATATGCGTTTACGCATGCGCGTTTAATGTATAACGGACGGTATAAGCTACATCACGGATGTTCCGTAAGTAACGGACTGAACATTGCGGCGCGCAATGAACTGGAAGTTGATCTGTCAGCACTATCCTCGTCTTCAGGGCAGATGTTTTTATTTTATTCGGCTTATAATTCCGTCATTATAAATATCACAAATACACATCAAATAGTTTTATGTTTGCAATTTTCTAATTTCGACTATGCTTAATGTATGCTTTACGCATGCGCGCATTGAAAGAAATGTTTAATAAAGTAAACAAATAATTATTAAGCTTTTCTTTTGTAAATTTTGATACCCTTTAGATCATAATTGCTCTTTATTTCATAAATTATGGTTTCATATTTTTAATTTTGTAATTTCTGCATGCCATCTTACCAGATTTAAATTGATGAACTATAATCCGGAAACCGATAATCCGGAATTGCTGAAGTCCCCGACAAGTCCGGATTAAAGACTTTTGACTGTATATGCATGCAATGGTGTATATATGCGCGGAAATTGCAAATTAATATTTAAATGTGATTTTTAACTTTTTATTTATATACTTACTCCTGCATAGACATGTTAATTCCATATTTAAATGCATATGTTGTATGCATGCCTGCATTCTTTCGTTTTAAATATAATCAAGACTATTGATCATGATGTAAAAGACTCGATATTCTTTTATCATTTATTTCGAGATTACACTACAGTATTTGATTCTTAAACCTCAGTTCAGAAATGGCTTTTATTCTTTTTTTAACTTGTTTTTATGACTCATAATGAATTCTTTGCAGGTTCATTAATTAATTAACATTTTGTTAATGATGTTGAAACTTGTTTAAGCTTTTAGCCACATGGCAGTTTGAAAAATGTGTTCTCCAGTTGAAGATCCATCTTGAATTTGAGACTTCATTCCAGGGTTGCCATGCTACCTGGAAAACCGGAAAAAGTCAGGGAATTCGGAAATTGACCAAAAAATTCAGGGAAAAGTCAGGGAATTTCATACAATGATCTCGCCAAAAAAGGCGAGTTTTGTGCCGACGTCGGAAGAGATCACTTTTTTGGTGAATTGTGTATCACGTGAGTGTCATTCGGGCAGCTGGCATAGAGCCAATTTTTGCAGCTCCAATTTCATTGTCTTTTAGAAAGGCAAAGCAAGTTTCTCGCAACGTTTGGTTTCTAGTAACCTCGAGAATCGGGAGAATCGCATGTGCAGTGCATGAACTGAAGAAAGTACCTATTTCTTATAAAACAAAATGGGTTTAATCTTATTGTACGATACCATGGAGGTTAGAATCAAAGAATATGTATTCTAAAGAAGGAAAACCTCTCTGCAACAGACGTGGCATCATTCCATCATAGAAGGAAACAGCTGTGCATGCGCGATATATCTGTCACCAAAGCTCGAAACCGGTGTCGAAGTTTGAAGGTCACGATACCAAGAGTTCATAAAATAAATATCGTTTAAAATTTCTTTAAACTCTAAAGGAAAAGAAAATATTTTTTGGCGCAAGTAAATTAATTCATGGATTAGTTATTTTGAGGTAAAAAAAATACAAAAATCCGTTTTTAAAATTTTTGCGAAAAACCCAAGAAAAAACGTTCTTTGATAAAGCGTTTCTTCTTGGATTTTTCGCAATAATTTAAAAACGCATTTTCGTAGTACACATCGCGGAGAGGGAAATTCTGCCCGCCAGGTTATGTCGCCAAATCCCTTGGCAAATTTTCCCTCCGCTTTCTAGCGGCGTAATAGCATTTACGTGTATGAAACCTTTTCTACTTTATATAGACGTTCTTTGGTTAAAAAAATCTCCATGTATGGTACAGCCGGATTTGGCGACATGATGATGAGCAGTAAACGGCTCATTTTGTTCTTGGCGACAATTTTCAAAATCGTGCGAAGGCCGTAATAATGTATACTAGGATTTTACCACAAAATCTTTTTAAACCTTTTTTTTTTTTCTTTTTAATAAATACCTTGTCATTTTGCAGTAAAATAAAAAATAGTAATCAGTCATCTAGGCTATCCATGTAATATAACTATATTCGCTAAAATGTCATTGATTATTCTAATTCAATTTTTAAGTAATTATTTTTATGTTATTCATATCATTTAATGTTGCTTCTTCCCTCTAAATTTATTCATCATTAGTAAATAATATTTCCAAATTTTAGGAAATTTTCTCTGGCACAATCCTGAAATTAATTCTAGCAGTATGATGACATACCATCATGAAATTTAATGCACTTATTTTTTCCTTATGTATGCTGCGAAATAAATATAAATACCTCAATTTATTAAAAGAAATATCATTAAATAGATTTCTTTCTTTCGTTTAGCTGCAGAATGTCTGCAAAAAAAGCCTAATTTTATCCCAGATTGGGCAGATTCTAATCTCAATCTTTAGTGGAGAAAACAACTCCTATTATAATTATATTTGTGTTTTCAAGTGTTAAGATGCCTTTTAAAAAGACACCTCACACAAATTAAATTTACCTAAAATCTAACCTAAATATTTAGCATTGCATTGTGATTTATAAGAACCGGATTAGCCTTGTGTTGAACTGGTGATGATCATGAGTAATAATTAAATAAAACGTACATTTGTTATCCAATGTATATATCTTAAATTTTATTAAGTTTCTTAAGTGGAAAAGTAAACAAAATTATCAAACAAAGTGTACCAAGAATAATTAAGAATAAATGTCCGCTGGGATTTATGGAATAATTAAATGAATTTGCTACACAATACAAGTAATACCATAATTCATTTACCTCTTAGCACAGCCAACGTACATTACGCGGATAGACTGGAATTTTCTCGAAACATACCTGGAAAACCTGAAAAAGTCAGGGAATTTAATTCTGTTTGAGTGGCAACCCTGTCATTCGGTCCTTGAAGACTTTCAGTTGCTAATGTTGAACCATAGTTTTATCACCAGTGTAGAGCTGTACAGTTCCATTTATTGATATTATGTTCCACTTCATTGCAGGTGTTGTGTGTTTGTAAAATGTAGTTCAAATGGAATTCATCATCACATCTTCCTTATTGAGGTTTTTGTTCTAGCACTTCAAATATTGACTTGGGAGATCTGTCTATGCAGTATATAGTTCTACAGTTCTGAAGTACTGGAATCAGTTGATATCAGATGGTCATCAATTTGCCACATTTTTCTGGAAGACTTAATTGATGCATTTCAGACACAAACTGAAAATGCAGAGAGATTGCCATTTTCAGTTTAGTCTTTTAGTCTGTTTGCATTTCAGATTGCATATGTCTTCCTTGTAAAAGAATTTTCACATATCCTGTTTTTCTAGGTGCAGAATTTTTTTCTTTTGTCATCAGCTGAAGCAAAGGTGCTTTAATGTTTACTTAAGTAATAATGTAATCAAACAATGTAAAAATTAAATTGTTCATATTAAAAATAGAAAAATCTATAAATTGAAATAAATTAATGTAAACTTTATAAACTCGAGCAGAGAAGTATATTTGTGCTTTATTATAAATCAAAAAGTCAAATCCTATCCTAGAAAGCTATGATGCGAAATGCACCTTTGTTTGATACTGATCCAGACTAGATAGGCAGGCATATCTTTTAAACTTTTGTGAAAGAGGAAGAAAAAAGTGTCTTTTATTGTAAAATTATAGTTGAGCTGTATAATATAATATGAGCTGTAATTTTCCTTTTATTTAGCTTCATTGTTGAATTATTGGTAATTTTTTCCCTGATCAAATAGTTTTCTTTAAATGTGTTTTTTTATATCTACAAAATTACATTTGCTAATAATTCTCCTTTTTTTATTTATTAAATTCTTAAAGGCTTTACTCTGCATTGTTCAAATTGCTTCTGTGCGAAGGACGTTATTCAATAATGAAGAGCGTGGAAAATATCTGGGACAGCTAGTAAACGGGATAAAATGTATTCTGGAAAATCCTCAGGTAAGAAATTGCTTTGCATTTCATAACTGGAAAGAAAATGTTTTTGAAATTCAGATGTATTCTGAATGGACAAATTTAATTATTGTAGATTGCTGTATTTCATGTATTATACTACAGTTCGTATTCACTTTAAATACTTTTTTATGCAAAAAATTTTGTTATTTCTGACATTTTGTTTTACAGTCTGATAAAAATAATTAATTTACCAGCCTTTATAAAATCATAACAACATAATTATTATAAAATCATAAAATCGAGGAATTATAAGTATAATTTTTCTGTTTATTACTTCTGTATTTATGTTACTATTTAAGCTCTGTAATAGTCCCATTTAATTTAATACCACATTTTTTTTAAAAATCTCTTCCTTTTAAATTTTAGTTCAGATTAGACTGCACAATACTTATTATCTAAATAAAAATGACTTGCTCTGTGATGAATATCGGATACAGAAGTTTGTATTCAAAGTTCAAGAATTAAATATTTAATTTATTTAATTAGAGTATTTTATTTCTGTAACTTGTTGATGTTTTGTTAATTGTTGATGTTTTGTTAATGTTATGAATGTAAACATGAAGACATACTTATACCCATGTTTATTGCATATTTTTCTGCATTTATATGATGTAGTGTTTGATAATGTGCTTATGGTGTGTAAAGAAAGTTTGAGAATTAAACTAAGTTGTTCAGGATGTGTTTCTTGAACCCTTTAAATAATAATGACTACACAATTTATATGAAATTTAAAAAGTGCTTAAAATATGGTTGCAGATCTTTGGTAAAATAAATTATCTTCAGTTCATACCTGATATATTTAACTACTTGCCTGATTATCCCGAGTTATCTCGGGTTCGTATATATTGCAGTTAATTATTATCCCGAGAAAACTCGGGCAAAACAGAATTTGTCAGTACGATTTGTTTTATCATGGTTTCACTCGGCTTGGAGTAAATGAAAGGAAATATTCAGCTTTTATTGGCAATTCTCCAAGTTTTGTTGGTCTTTTGGGGGGACAGGTCACGTGTTTTCCCTATTGTCTAGTATACGTCGGCTTGTGGATTAGTAATGTATAAAAAATGATAGTTGCGTTGAAAAAAGTAAAATAATGCCGATGATGCAAGATAGTGAAAGCGATGATTTTTCAGATAGTGACTATAACCTCAAGGCATTTTCCAGATGTTATTCCCGCTACTGAAAAAAAATCAAATCCAATGAGTCAGTGTCCTCTGTGCTCCCGTAAAAGAGATTCCAGAGGTAAACCAGTAAGTAAAGAGACCAGGTACCAGTATATAGAATGTTAACTATCACTTTGTGTTGTCCCTTGTTTCAAAAACTCTCATACAACGACTAAAATTTAATTTTTTTATTTGCTCGAGGTAACTGGGGATAGTAAACTCATATTAAAACTAAATGCTTTTACACCTGTAAAAAATTAAAAATTCAACTTAAAACCTATATATTGTATTATGTTTCGTTTTCTAGTATTTAATAATAAAATAAAAAATGTGATGAATTTTTGCAGTTTTTTTCAAAAAAATGTGTAAGGGAAGCCGTTAATTTTTACGTAGAAAACTGATACTTCTCAACTTCATTACCTAAGTGGGAACTTGTACCATTAAATCAAAGCCAGAATCAGATTTAAAAAAAAAAAGTATAACTATTTATATTATTTAAGATGACTTTTTGTGCTAGCTTTTAAAAAATATAGTTTTGTTGTGGAATAGTTTAAGTAATTGAATTATGGATGTGAAAGAATCAGCGATATATGTCTTTATTACACTCATGTGCATAAATTAAGGATAATTCAGAGTCACGCGGAAATCGAACTCTAAAATAAATATATCACCTGTAAAATCACTACACACATCTTCAAGATTCATATGCAAATTTCAGGAAGTAACCAGATGTCACCGATGGTACATCACAATGATGAGAGTGTAAGAGAGTGATATATAAGGAATACAAGCAAAGAAGTTAATTTGTTCGCAGGTGCTTTATAAGCATTTCAGTGCAATAAACGAATAGTTATGACACAAAGGATGCATTTGGATGATTTTTTACTTGGTAGAATTATCGGCCGTCTGGAATGTGGGCGTACCAAACTGGAAGTATCAGACAAAATTAGAATTGCCCAGAGTGTCATCTCCAGGCTTTCACAACGATTCCAAGATGATGGTAATGTGAGTAGACGTTACAGCACAGGTCGCCCCAGAGTTACAACGCCGAATGAGGACTGGTATTTGGCAGTTACTGCCGAAAGAAACAGGCGGAACTCAGCCTGACCTGTCTCGTCAGCTCTCTTCAACCACTGGTATGATAATTTCAAGGCAGACCTTTACTTAGGGCAGATTGGTCTATATGCTCGTAGACCTGTCAGATGCGTTCCACTTACTGCAACTCACTGTCGCCTGCGGTGAGCCTGGAGTAGAGAGCATGCATTGTGGACACCGCAACAGTGGGCTTAAGTGATGTTTTTCGACGAGTCCAGGTTTAGCTTGCATTCTGATTTTTGCCGGACTTTCATATGGAGAGCTCCAGGTACCCATTACCACCAAGAAAACATCATTGAACGACACTAGTGATGCATAGACTCCAACCTTCAGCAAACCTTGTCAGTAGTCAACGTGCGAATGACATTTTTACAACTTTGAAAATGTGCGCGTAGCGTATGTTGTAATTAACCATTCATTAATTTTAAATTAATAATTATTTGTAATCAATTTTATTACATTTAAAATCCATATACATATAAAACTGAATAATTAAAAATATACCTTGTAAATTATATGCACATTTAATTAGAAATTTTCTTTTAACTCCTCAAGCATTCACTAATAAAAAGTACTTCAAATCACTACTAATCATAGAAAAAAAATCAGAAGCTATAAATCATATCTTTATTCTGGATATGATTTCTACAGGGAAATAAAATTTAAATAACCAAGAATGATACATATAAGTATTAAACAACATACGCATAATTTATGAATGCAAAGATTTATATGTAGCATGCTTAGCAAGCTTAAGTTCTGATTTTGAGAATGTTTTTTTATAACACCAGTTCTTCATTTGCCTGCATATTTATTTTTTCAATCAAAACTGCTTCAAGAGTTTTAAGACCTAAATTTGGTCGAAATTCCGTCTGATTTTTTTTAACAATAGAAAAAATTCTTTCGCAAGCTGCATTTGAATGAGGTATTATTAAGACAGCAAGCATTACAGAAGGCAATACTTTGTATTTAATACACCCATTCATATTTTTTAATTTGGCCAATTTCTCCCCATGCTATATCAATACGCAAATCGACAATTTCTTTCAAATCATCTACTTGATACATGGAAAATTCAATTTCTACTTGATTAAGACATTTTTCATCAATAATGGATGGAAAAGTATTCATCAAGTAAAGAACAGATGAAAATGAGACTTCAGTTCTCAAGTTGATGTCAGCAACTTCAGCATGTTTTAGAAATGGATCACTCAGTGGAAATTTATCAATTATATATGAACATGCAGTTACAAAAAAAAGCTCGCACAGAATTGAAAAATGATTTCACTTCACTTTCATTCAACTTGGCATTTTTTAAATATAGTCTTGTTTCCGCACCAATCACTAAATTTTCATTTTCTTTTTGTTTACTATACTTCTGAAATGGAATAGACGTTAGAGTAACATCTTCATTTTCTTTAGAAATTACTGATGGTTTTACGAATCTAACAAATAAATTCATTAAAAGTTCAAAAAGTTCTCTTCTCAATTTATGTATATAAGGAGCTTGTTGTTGCAAATTAATATTTACTGTTATAAACAAAGGCAAAGTATTTTTCAAAAATAACAAGTACAATTTGGTGGTCGGTGACTGTAAATTTTTTTTAATGTTTTGCAATCTCTTTCCTTCATTCTCACTGTTATCTGGTTTATCTCCAAAAAATTATCACAGCATCCCACTGTTCCAAAATCCTTGTTATAGATTCTAAAAGAGACAACCATCTCGTACTGCAATATTTCAAAATTTTATGAGATTTTGCATTCTGTCCCAAAATTTGTTGAGCAACTTTGAAGCTATGCTTCCGTTTCAAACTTTTCTCCAAGTAAAAATATATATCTATTATCAACATTTCAATTTCTGAGCCAATTAATTTTTCAGTAGCTTTTTTTGCAGCTATATACAAGAGGTGGCACGGACAACCTCGGGTGATTATACTTGGTTGATGCATTTTGATAAATGATGCTACACCTTTAAACTTTCCAATCATATTACTAGCATTATCTGAAGAAAATGATAAGCAATTTTTCCATTCTAAACCTTTGTTTTTAAAGTTTTCATTTATACAATTAAAAATACCTTCTCCTGTATTATTCGTGCATTCTAAAATAGAAATCAATGAAGTAATTATCACTCCCTTTTCTTTACTGTAGTATGTTATAACCAATGGGTACAGTTTGTTATCATTGTTATCATTGTTATCATTACTTCCATCAGTACTTAGAGAAAATGATGTACTGCACACTGATTTTATAATATCAGCAACAGTATTTTCTGCAAGCGTTTTCACAATAGCAGCAGTTTTGGTATGACCGCAGCTAAATTTTTTTGCTATGGCAGAATCCGGAAACATTGCTTTGAAAAGCTCTTTGGAATGATCCGAAACAGAAAGCGGTAGATTATGTTCAATTAAAAAACAAACAAAATAGCGTTCGGCTTTTATAGGATCTGTTTCATCATCTTTTATTAAGAAATTTGTTATTTCTTTAGATTTTACGGTGCCAAGTTCTATGCTTTTGAGAAAACACATGCCGTTTACAGTCATCTTTTCCGCCATGAGCAACTGAGAAGTCTTTGTTGCATACACTGCAGTGTGCGTGATTCACAGAAATTTCGGACGCTTTAATGCATGGAAATTCTGAAGAATATGAATCTTTAAACTTCTGCTTTGATAATTTTGGCTTCTTCGTTCGAGGCAGCATTATGATTAAAAATCTTTCACCTGATTCACA